GGACATTTAATATTTAATGATTTAATGAATTCACATACGGTTTGTTAGTGTTATTTGATTACTACAATATTAAACATGATTTCGTTATGTGTATATAAGTATTTACTTGAAAGCTATTCGTATGATGCTTTTGGACGGCGGCCGATAGTCTGCGACACGAAGGAAAACTACACTCGCCGTTCTTGGCACAAGTTACTTTTAACGTCCAACGAATGTGATAGTCCCTTGATCGACTATTGCGAAAGAAGATATTTTCTTGCTTGTTCGTAACTTCGAAACATTTAACGTTTAAGTTTTGCTATATAGCAAGTATACTTTTTCTTTATCATAATATATCAATTTTATTATATATATATAGAAATTTCTGGAACATCGATAGATCGATTTAAATCTTCCTTTTGTTCCTAATTTGTTTATTTTTTTTTTGTAAATATGATTTACAGGTTTTTCATTCAAATGCTTTATTTTTTGTAATCATCTGAATTAATGCAACGAATTATTTTGTTTTACCTATATTGAGATGAGTGATTCAACGAATATGAGTACCTATTAATTTGAATAATATGCAATAATATGTTAGTAATTTTTAAACTTTTCTTTATTTGTTTATTTATTTTATAATATATGTATTGTTTTTTTTTTCGTTTTTTTTTTTATAAGAAACGATTTTGTAATGTAAATCATTTATTATACAATATATAATACTAACATACATAATAATATAATAATAATATATAACTAATAATAAATAATATATAACTACATATAACTAAATAAAGTAAGTAAGTAAAGTAATTAAGTAAACTTTACTTACTTTTTTTTTTAAATAATAACTTAAAATAATAAAATACCATAAAATAAGTTTAAGATAAAATCTTTTTAACACTATAATGGGGATGTAGTTCTATCGTAAGGGATATTCGATCGAGAACCGCACCGCAAAGTAATTCTGTACAAAGACCTCTTGTTGGTGACGTAATGCTCAATCAGCCGATGCTTCTTGGCACCTGCCACAGTTACAGAGTGGAACACACTACTCTTGGCAACCCTCAGTTTCGATGAGGGCGAAGACTTTGCACGATGCACTATCCCCCTCCCTTTTCATTCCCTCTTCTTCTTCTTCTTCTTCTTCTTCTTCTTCTTCTTCTTCTTCTTCTCAAAAGAGAAAGAAAGAGAGAGAAAGAGAGCGAGAATCGTTATATTTGTGGTACGCCACGACCTGGACATCGACTTTCGAGCTTCTTCTAAATATAGGCACGGCCAGGGTTGGCGAAGGTGGTGCAAGGCCGAGTCAGGACGGTACATTGGCCAGAAGAAACGCGTTCGAGCTTGGATTAACGACTTTATACATAGCTCACTCTAAAGTGAACTTTATTATTAGTTTTATCGGATATATACTATGGTAAATATATTACATCTACATATATATACGTATATAATACATACCAAGAACACGACGCGTCTCAGTTTCTTTCCTCGGAAAAATTTCTCTTTTATAATATTAATAATATATCGTTTTTAACGAGACGCGAAATGCGATCGTCGAAGTCACGTCGAACTTATTTTTCTTTTTTTTTAAATTATAACGATGTATCAACAACGATATTATTTTTCTTTTTACTCGTGTCGTTCGTATTTATTTATTTTTGTATTTATTTTTTTTTTCAAATTAATCGACAAATTGATATTTTAATAAATATATCTTAATATCTTTTTGCGAAGAAATATTTATTTTATTCAAATTGAAAACTTATGCGTATATACAAAAGAAAAGAGAAAGGAAAAAAATAGCAAGAAATTCGATTAATTATTACCGAAATAAAAAGAAATCGTATTGTTGACAATTGACAATGACGTTATTATCTAAACAAGGAAACGATATCTTTTCGGGGTTGATTAGTAAGACGATATGCGTCAGATCGTGGATCACAAGAGAGAGAGAGAGAGAGAGAGAGGGAGAAAGGAGGAAGGTACATAACTAAACATAGGTCCTTGCACTTGGCAGTTTGCACTATTTCGGTCTCATGCCAAGAATCTATTGTGCTCGACTCGTCGAAGTTATGCGTTTGTAAACATTCGTAAATACTCCCGCAGACATTGAGTTGCGGCATATTCCGTTGAACTGATAGAGAAATATCGTTTATCAAGGTAGCCAAAAGAATCGTCATGAAATTTTAACGGCAGTCTCTTTCTCTTTTCCACCTATCTCTTTTCATTTTTTCATATACTTGATAAGCATATGTATATTCTTTTTTTTACTACAATTTTTCTTCCCTACGATACTTGTAACATATATATTTTTGTATTTTTTATTTTTACTATCCGTACAGACATTAGTAAATAATTTTTTTTTATTATTTTAACTTAATATTAGATTGATTTATAAAATTAATTCATGCGTTACTTATATGTAAATTAAAATAATAAATATAACTTATATTAATATTTAATAAATTAATTTAATATATATTATATTATAATTTATATAATAATATAAATATTTATTAAATAAAAAATATTCATTATTTTAATTTAATTTATTGTATATAATTTATATAAATAAAATTTATCGAAATGCAATAAAATTTAAATAATAAATAAAATTATGCTACAACTATTGATGATTTTTTTCTCATTTCTAATTTGAGGTACCAGTAAAAGGGGTTAATTAACAGAAACATTATAATTGGGTTCACCTTTCGTTCTTTTTCTCTTTCTCTCTCTCTCTCTTTCTGTCTCTTCTCAATTGTTTAGATGTCCACAAAGAAGAATATAGGTCGGCAAAGTCGAAGTTGGCGAATTTTGGACAGCAACGACCTTGTGCCAAAATTGTTGCCGAATGAACCGTAACAATTTCTTTCTCTCTCTCTGTATTTCTTTTTTTTCATTTTCTTCTTCTTTATCCGTATTAGACGTGTCATGAATCCTACGATTCTAACCAAGAAACGTTACTTTTTACGTACGATTTTACACTTTTATTAGTTCCCATCGAATAGAATGAATTCGATCTTACAAAATCACGAAAGTCAACAATTTATCGGTAAAGAAATTTTGTTCAGTATTAAAAATAATTTCAGTTTGCGAATTTCATTAATTTATCTTTTACGTTTTCAAATTTTCAGATTTTAGTTGGTTTTTTTTTTAACACTCGAAATAAATACGCGCGCGCGTACGGACTTTATTATTACGTATTACGTTAAAAAAGTATGAAAGTTAACCATTTCAGTAGTTACAATGTAAAATGTTCCGACATTTCGCAAGAGGAACGATCATAAATATTTCAAGTTTCGGTCTCTTTCGAGAATTCGAATGTGAGAAAAAATAAAGAGTAAGAAAGAGACAGAGAAAAAGAGAATTGTTCTGCCAAGTCTCTAAAGCTTTATTAAGCTCATCCACAACGTTGTGTATGTTCCCTTGTGAACGTTTTTAAAGCCAGCCGAGGCATTGTTTTCAAAAACTCTCACAACGTTGTAAGAAGTAGTACGAAGAAGTTACTTGAATTTGATTTTGTTAAAGAAAATTGTACCGATCTGTCCTCTGGAACGTTTTATCATTGACATTTATAGTAACCGTAGATCCTCTCAGTATTATAAACTTTCTTCTCTTTGGAGGATAATCTGATTTCATTTTCTTTTCGGCTTTAACCGAGAGATCGAAAAACGACCATGTGATCTAACTTTAAACATTTCTAACAGCAACGTAAATCCTTTTTTTATACACACATGCACATTTTTTTCATATATATTAAATTATTTATAAATTGATATAAAAATCGTTGATAATTTTAAATACGAATGAAGTAATCTTCGCTAAAGAACAAAAACTGACACGTTTAAGTCACAGTTTTGGTGTTACGTATTTTCGTTCGCAGGTATCGTTGATTAAAAAAAAATGGTCGACGAATTTGAATACGTTCAAAATTCACGTATCAAATATAAATATATTAAAATTAAGAATACAAAATAATCTTTATAAAGAAAAACAACATAATAAACGACTAGTTTAGATGAAAAATTTTTTCTCGGAATGATCAAAACAAAAATTTTAACAATGTTAATTTAACATTTTAAATTTGTCTTTTTGAATAAAAATCATAATCAATATAAGTATATATATATGAGAAAAAGGGTTAACAGGAATGGGTACAACGATGAAATTCATATTCCCGTTTGGTAGAACACGAAGAAAAGGCAAGAACAAGAACAAGGATGAGGAGAAGAGGCACGTGGAGAACTTGGCCAGTGTTTAGCGTATTTTCCTCTCCGATGCGACTTGTCTCGCTTTTGTCCTCGATGATATTATGTCCTTCTTGCTCCTAGCTCCTCTCGTTTTTTTAGCTTTATCTCTATCTCTCTCTCCCTCTCTCTATCTCTCTTTTCCTCTTTCTCACACATTTATGTTAGTCGTTTCTCCTTTACTTGCTGCTTCTCACTGACATCGAGCAACAATACACCAACTCTGTCTGCTCGGATACAACCTCTCCATTGTCCCGCCAAACAGTTTCTCAGTCCGTGAGAGAGAAATAAAGAGAGGAAGAGAGAGCAAGACTCGCAAACGAGAACCTTGTACGATATATCGTAAAGCATGTATGTATTGTATACATACCGCGAAGAAGACACGTTCTGTTCATGTCTTCTTCTTCTTCTTCTACCCCTCTTCTTCTTCTTCATCTTCTTTTTATTTCGTTTGCAACGCCATCAACAAAAAGACTCTTCTATTCGGTTGTAAAGTAGCATCAACTTGCTAGCAAACAATAATAATAATAATAATAATAATAATATTATTATTATTATATTATTAATTATAATAATAATATTATTATTATTATTATTATCAAGAAAATTAACTCTTTCTTCATTCTCATAAGTTTGAGAACCACTGGCTTAAAGTCGTAAATATACTATCTCACTAAACGTATCTCTAAGTAAGAATATATGTATAAGATAAAGATAATATTGTTTCTTTACCTAATCTCTATCTTTTTCTCTTTCTCATTGCAGGTGGGTTTCCAATATTGAAAGGCACTTTTATTCTTACGATACATTGGTTATATGTAAGTAAGAATATTATTTTTTTAATTTCTTATAATTTACACTCTTTAGATTAATCGATAACATTAAAAATAAATTTAAGTTCAGGTACTATCAATAATTTTAAAAACAAAAATTACAAAATGTACGAAACGTTCAATCAACGTCTCACAGTTATCTACTACAGCCAATCGCAGACATGGTTTTACGTATCCTATAAGGACAACACGTGGTTCCTAAAAGATACATTTTCGGTTGCTCCATACGAAGGAGTCGTTTTTCATGAACGCCCACATCTTCCTCTCGTGATGCATTCGCAAACGCAGAACGGATCGGTGATCCTGGTGGTAGGTTCAAGGCCGATTACGAGTCGTCGCTATTACTTTCGCCAAGCTCTCCTCACGGATACATTTGCGCATATATATACTTATAACAGGCTTAAGTTGTTTCTTTGTGGTGGTGAATAGTAGTAGTGAGTCGAAACTTGTTGTTTCTTTTTCTCTCTCTTAATTTTTCTTTTCCCAGAGCACGATGCTTCTCTCTCTCTCTCTCTCTTCCTTTCTTTCTCTCTCTCTTTCTTTCTTTCTTTCTCTCTCTTTTTCTCTCTTTTTCTCTCTTTCTTTCTCTCTGCCGAAGTCTCTTGCTCCTCTCACGGCCAACTACATTCCTTCGGGATCAGAGCCGTGCCGCACCTACTCTCGAGCCCGGATCCTTCTTTCTTCAATCGGTGCAAAGGCTTAAGAGAATAAGGAAAAGAGAAGAGGAGAAAACGATAAAGAAACATTCGTTGTATTCCGAGTAAGAAAAGGCGAGAGACAAAGTTATCGAGTTAAAAAATCTCTTTCAGCAGCTCGTGAATCTTCTTTACCTACCGCGTGTGCACGCTCCTTTCTAACCTGCTTGCTTCTACTGCTGACTTCTCTTTCCGTTTTTTCGAAAACGACAAGAGAAAAGTAACAAGACTTTACGTAGCTTTGTTCGTGCCATTCTGACCGTTTCGGTGATACCTCTTTTGCCTTTTTCACTCGAGTATTCTCGAAAAGATCGACGTTCAAAGTCGCGAAGTGAGTTCTCTGAATTTTTTCTAATATGGCCGAAAAGTTCGTTGCCATCTTTTATTTGTACGTCTCCCAATTTTTACTCTATTATTACTTACTTATCGTTTATTTCTTTTTTTTCTCGCTTTACACATTCACGTAATCTTCTTATCATATTTTTCAACTTTTCAATCGTAAATTTATTATCAAGCAATTAATTTAATTATTGGTATAAAATTATATATATATATTAAGAAGATAATAATTTATCTTGAGATAATTATGATTAAAGGCCAATCCGGTTTTTACGGATTATATAACTTCGTCAGAAAATTTGGAGATAAAAGTTTCTATAAGACGAGAGAAAAGTCGAGTACTTTCCTCTCTTTCTTCCACTTTGTCTTATGCTTCTTCTTCTTCTTCTTCTCTATATGTCTCCAACTATTCTTAGGAATGTCGCCAGAAACTTCTGTCTCTCTCTTATCTGGCACTTTTGTACAAAAAGGATTCGTGTTTTAGCACGGATACAATCCGCGTACCGAGACGAACGAACGAACGAACCTTCCTCGAATGGATAGTTTCTTTAATCTCCTGCGTCACGCTTCTTCGCGAAAGAAGAAAAAGCGATCCATCCCACGGGAACAATTTAAAAGTCGTTCGATCGTATCTAACTGGAAATTAGCTTTCTAGTCGGAACGATGGATCTTTTTTTTTGTTTTTTATTTCTGTTTGTTTCTTTTTTTATTTTTTTTTTATTTATCGATTAAACGCTTCATACTTACAAACGTAATTTATAATTATCGCAAAACGAGTTGAAAAATTAGTTAGGCGGTGTATTACAAAATTCTTTTATACATCAAAAATTACTTACGAGTATTGTGTGTGTATGTGTGTGGTGACATAAAAAAATTATAATTATTTCAAAACAACGACTTATCGCACAATGGACGTTGAATGGCGATTAAATAGAAAGAAATATTCAACGTTGAGAACCACTGAAGAATACAAATGGACGATTCGATACGAACGCATTGTGAACAAGTGTGCGTATGCTGATGCGTTTGATGTTCCTGAGGCGCGTTTGTCGCCGCGCCGCACTGGCACAATATGCCATCCAGTGATAGTGAATATGCATACATGTATGAGACCATCTCACGTATACATACTTATATACATACACACAAAAGAAAAGATGCATCTTTCTCTTTCGTGTATGCGTCGCGTCATTACACATGCCCGCACAAATTTATTCTCTCATTCTCTTTCGTTTCTCTTTTATCTTTCTTACTAGCCCTTCTTTTCCTTCTTCTTCTACTTCTTCTTATTCTTCTTTATCGTTGTTGTTGTTGTTGTTTGTTGTTGATGTTGTTGTGCTAATTCCTTTTCCTTCTAATCGGTAAATATGGTAGACGTCTGTACAATATTTTTCACTCGTCAACTACTTCTTATTATACTTTTATGTAACATACCGTTTAAAAGCATAAAGAAACACATTACGATAACCAGTCAATGAGAAACAGCAAATACTTGTCAATAAATACGAACGAAAATACTTAACAAGTCTTGTTCTGTTAAAAGTAAAAAATCAATAGTACTGGTAATATTTTAATTTTCTGTTACTTTTAACTTTCCATTTGATTACATTATTGTAAAATTTCAATAAAAGTCATCAGGATATAGGAAAATGATAGAGAAATATAGAATAAATTGAAATTTCCTTCAAGGAAACTTTGGCTGAATATGATCTCAGCGTACTTCAGCTTTCTTGTTATCATCCAAAAAATTCCTTAGAGTTTTCCATTCATACATAGCGAATATTTTCTATCGAAGGTTTCAACGAACGTATATCCTATCCAGCTGCCTTTCTCCATCTGTTTATAGAAGAGGAAAGGAAGGAATGACGGAGAGAGAGATAGAGAGAAATATAGAGAGAAATAAAAAGAGAAAGAAAGAGAAAGAGAAGAGTGGGGATTTCACAAAGACTGATGTAATTAAACGCGAAAGTCTTTGACGTGCCGACGAGACTAATCAATCATTTAACGACTTTAACAATATCCTCTTTGAGTTAGACTATTGGCTTCTTGAATTTGGTGAATCGTAATATACATCCGGGGTTTTACGTTTTTTTTTCATCTTCAAAATTTAAGGAGATAAGTTCACTAACTTCAAATTTTTTTACGTTTTTTTTTTCTTCAATAAATATTCATTCTTTTTTCTTTTACGTTTGATTCCTATCGTCAGTAAATACAAACTGTAACTTTTTATTCTTCTTTCACGATTTCTGCTATATTGTACAATAAATCTGTGGTAAGACTCGTTTATAGGGAAATTTCATTAACATTTTATAAAGAAAAAGAACAAGATTTAGGAGGCCAGAAATGGTGACGAAGAATCCAAGCGGAGTGAAATAAGAAAGATATAAAAAAAAAAGAAATAAAAAAGGAGAGAAAGAGAGAGAGAGAGAGAGAGAGAAAGAGAGATCATCATCAGGGGCTTTCCGAGCAGGAGCGAAGTTAGTGCAACGTCAGAGCATACCGCGAAAGATGTCTTCCTTTTTGCGAGAGACCGGTTTCCCTCCTTTCTTACCGGTCTATCTCATTCGCGCTTCTCAGCCATGCCAGGAGGTTTCTCATCCTTAGTTACCCATTCCGCACGCTCTTTCCTTTCGAATAGTCGAAAGATCATCGAATTAATCGCCCGTATAATCCGAAATTGTACACCCCAATTACGATCCTAACGACCGCATGCAGTTCTCTCCCCCTTCGATATATCTTTTCAATCTTCTATCATGAATTTCGCAATTTTTGAACGGATGACGACGAGATTTTATATGTAAACGTAAAATAACAAGAATATTTTCAAGGCCAACCAATCGACGTATCAAAAATAAATATATTAACGTTTAAAAATGTTTAGCTAGATGACATCGTTTGATCCTATCATGTTTTTGACTTTAATTATTTAAATGATTTCTTTTTCTTTTTTTTTCCTTTTTTTTTGTTTGAATGAAATCGCAATAAAGATAATAACGTCGCGTTATATTTTCGACATTCGTGGAACGAATTTCAATGTCAGGAGGTCTACGTTGGTTGAGGAGTGAAAACTGTGAGAGAAAAAGAGAAAGAGAAACGGAAAGAGGGAGAAAGAGAGAGAAATAGAAAGAGAGGAAAAGAGGGACGAGTTCCGTGCGTGCATGCGTGCCACGATTATTCGGGAGTCGTGCAAAAATATCAAGAAGAGCCAACGGCCGCTGGCTCCATGAAAGTGTACACAAACGGCCGATTCTGTCCGGCCATGTGCGAGTTGAAAGAGAAAAAGAGAGATAGAGAGAGATAGAAAGAAAGAGAGAGAAAGAGAAAGAGAGAGAGAGAGAGAGAGAGTGAGAGGGAGACAGGGAAAAGTGAGAAGGGGTATGGAAAAAGAAAAAATACAAGACAAAAAGAGTTAGAGAGAGAGAGAGAGAGGGAGAGCTAGTGATCTCTTCACAGACTGCGGGAGGTCCAGTAAAAAGAGTGAGTGAGGAACAGAATGAAAGAAAGAGAGAGACAGAAAGATAGATGGATAGATAAAGGATAGCGTGTGTATTCGTGGATCTTGAACTCGCTTGTACCGTTTAGAAATTTATTGTCTTTCCCTTATTTTATACAGAAACTTGAGTCGTTCTCAAGATGTAAGTCTCGAGACTCGTGAAATCGCACAACTCTTTCTGCTCTCTCTCTCTCTTTCTCTCTTACGTTCTTCAGTTTCAGAATTTTCGTTCGACGCGTGTTACCCATCGACGAGTTCTTTGATCTTTCCACGAAATAATAGGTCCGATAAACGCATATTTCCATCATCTTTTTTTTTTCGTTACTTTTTGTTTCTTTTCTCTATGTTTTGATTCGTATCATGTCGAATATATATCTTGATAATGACGATAGAATTTGGGGGAGTTGAACGTTTGATGAAAATCAAATAATAATAGGAAAGTTTTAATTTGACCTTGA